GCTCCCAGTAAGTCCCAGTGCTCCCAGTTTGCCCACCATCCACCACCAGGTCCCCCCAGCAGCTTCACTTCTCCCCTCCCAGTGCTCCCAGTTTACCCAGTAACCCCACAGACCCTTCCCAGTGCCCCCATTACCTCTCCCAGTGCTCCCAGTGCTCCCCTCTCACTGGTGCCGGTGCATTTAGGGAAGGGGGCGTGGCCTCCCTTCAGCCCCGCCCCCTCCGTTGCCCCACGCTTGGTTGCGGCTCACTATGTTGCAAGAGGAAGCCCACGGGGCGGGGCGGTAGCTCAGTATGTGGCAAGGTCTGAATGGAAGGGGCGGCTCGCTTTGTGGCAGGAGGGACTCAATAGGGCAGAGCGGTGGCTCTGTATGTGGCAAGAGGAAGCCCTAAGGGTGGGGAGAAGGCTCACAATGTGGCAAGAGCCTGCAGCCCATTATGTGGCGAGGGGTCGCATGGGATGGAGCCATGGCTCTCTTTCTGGCAGGTGCGCACTATCTGGCAAGGAGATCCAATTGGGCCGAGCTGGGCATCATTATGTGGCAAGAGGAACTCCTATGGGGTGGGGCAGCGGCTCTCTATGTGGCAGGGGTGCAGGGGAATGGGGCAACGGCTCCTTATCTGGCAAGGAATCACTGACTCCTTTTATGGTAAAAGCTCGCTATGTGGCAAGGAAACCTATGTACGTCTGCAACTTGGCTCTCTTTCTGGCAAGGGGAGCAATAGGGCTGGGCCATAGCTCACTATGTGGCAATGGGTCATTATGGGATGGCACAACGCCGCCTTCTCTAGTGAGGGTGGGCGGCGGGCCCACAGCTCACTATGTGGCAGACAGATTCAATGGAGCAAAGCAATGGCTCACTTTGTGGCAGGGTGACTTCTCGGTTCCTCTTTCGCAACCTCCCCCTGCAGGGTGCGGCGATGGCTCACTATTAGGCAAAGGTGTGACTGCAGGGAAGGGCTGGGAGCTCACTATTTGGTGGGGCCGGGGAGCGGCTCACTATTTAGCAGAACCGGTCGGTCGGCGATGGCGTAAGGAAGGGGCGGAGCCACGCGGCCACGTGACAGCACTTTATTGAAGCCCCGCCTCCCGGGGGCCAATCAAGAGAGGAGGACGGTGACGCGGGGAAGGAGCTCAGCCAATCGGGAGGAGGCATCGGGGGCGGTAGCCAACGGCGTCTCGGCCAATCCCAGGACAGACAGGCGGGGGAAGGCAGCCAATGGGGCCAGGGCGGGGGCGTGGCTTATGGCTAAGGGAGGGAACAAATCAGCGGGGACCGCCCCCTTCGCTCTAAGCCCCGCCCCCAGGCGCCAAGCCCCGCCCCAACATCGCTAATCTCCACCCCTATCAACCCTAAGCCCCGCCCCCAATTTCATGGCCCCGCCTTCAAATCTCTAAATCCCGCCCCTCGCTCAGAGCCCTAAGCTCCGCCCCCAAGCCATGACCACGCCCCCACACCCTAAGCCCCGCCCCGTCCCTTAACAGTACCCTTGAGCCCCGCCGCCAACTTACGGTTGCCGTCCAATCGCAGCTCCCGCAGCCGCGGAAGGGGCGGGACTCCCTGCAGCGTGGCGATCTGATTGCGCGACACGTCCAGCACCTGCAGCAAGGGGGCGGGGTCTCTCATGGCCACGCCCCCAAAGCTGCCCCCCCCCCCCCCCCCCCGCTCCCAGTTCACTCAGTATCCCCTACCAGGTCTTCCCAGTGCCCCCATTAACCCCTCCCAGTCCTCCCAGTACCCCCCCCCCAAGTCACGTGACCCACCTGCAGCCTCCTCATGGCCCCCAAAGTTTGGGGCAGCCCCTGCAGGCCGTTGCCCCTCAAATCCAGCAGGGTGACGCAGCCCAGGCGCTCCAATAGGGGCAGAGATGTCAGACCCTGGGGGGGGCGGGGTTTTGTCCAAAAGGGGGCGGGGCTTTGTGTTGCCAAGCCCCGCCCCCCTTTTTTTCTCCCCCCCGCCCACTTTCAGCCCCATCCAATCACCTTTTCCGGTAGGTGGAGCTCCTCAGGCTCCGCCCCCTCCCTCAGCAGCGCCAGCGCAAGCTCCGCCCTCGACGCCATGTCTGCCACGAAGCCAATCCGCAGCGGGTCCGCCTCCTGAGGGGGCGGGGCTACGTTGGGCCACTGCTCCCCTTTCCTCTTAGCCCCGCCCCCCCTGTCGCTAAGCCCCGCCCACCTGCAGGGCCCGCAGGCAGCGCCGCATTTCCTCCTCGTGGCCCAGAGGGTCGGTGGCAGCCAGCAGGAGCAGCAGGGTCAGCAGGCAGCCTGGTCACGTGATGCGCGGTCACGTGACCGCACCTGGGGTCAGCTGACCCCCCTAGGCTTTGGTCACGTGACCCGGAACTCACCGCGGCTGTGCGGCTCCAACTCCAGCAGCTCCCTGCAGGCGCCCAGCAGCTCCTCCAGCACCGCCCGTTCGGCCACGTCCACTTCCGGCCTGCGGGAGGAAGGGGCGGGGCCTGATGCGGATATGGGCGGGAAAGTCCTCCCAGCCACCAGGGGGCGGTGCTTAGAGGAAGAGCAGAACCCGGATGTGGGGGGGGCTTCTAGACAAGGGTTTACATATGGGGCGTGGCTAAGAGTTGAAGGGGCGTGGCTTCATGGCTAAGCGGGCATGGCTTGGTGGAGGGGGCGTGGCGATGTGTCAAAGTGGGCGTGGCTTACCAGAAGAGCTCCTGGGGCACAATAGACTCCGCCCACCACGCCTCCTTTCCCCCTGCAAGGAAAGGGCTCAATTAGCCCCCATGCAAATGAGGTGGGCGTGGCAAAGGGAAGCAAATTAAGACGGGAGGCGTGGCCAACCTTTAGGCGAGAGCGTCACCTCCCCGTGGGCGGAGCCGTGGCTCCACACCGCTCTGATTGGCTCCTGCTCCGCAGTGGGCGTGGCCAGGTCTTCGGGCAGCGGGCACAGCTGTGGGCGGGGCTCGGTGAGGCCCCGCCCCTTGCTCGAAGCCCCCCCCCCTCCTTCTTTTAGCCCCGCCCCCCTATGTCCATACCCAGGTGTGGGAGGGGCGGCCGCGGCACTGGGCGGAGCTCCATGGGGTCAAAGGTCGGCTCTGTAGGGTCAGCTGGGGGGGGGTCTGTGGGGGGACGGCACTGCGGTCACGTGGGGCCCCACCGCCCCCCTGCTGACCCTATAGGGGGTCCATGGCTGCCCCACTGAGACCCCATTGGGTCCCTAACGACCCCAATGTGCCCCACGGCCCCCCACCGTCACCCCATAGACCCCACAGTGACCCCATTGGGTCCCTAATGACCCCAATGTGCCCCCCCCCCCCCCCCAGGTCCCCATTTAGGGGCAGCCAAAGGTGCTGACCCCAAATCACCCCACAGCTCACCCCGACGGCCCTTGAGAAGGTGACGCTCACGGCCCCGTCCTCCACGTCCACGTGCACCCCGATGACACGGGGAGGGGGGGAGGCTGGGGGGGCAATGGGGACGTCAGCACCCCATAGGGACCCCATAGGGATAGCAAGACCCCATTGGGACCCCATAGGGACAGTGAGACCCCATAGGGACACCAGGACCCCATAGGGACCCCATAGGGACACCAGGATCCCATAGAGACACCATAGAGACCCCATAGAGACCCCATAGGGACAATGAGACCCCCATAAGGACCCTATAGGGACACCAGGACCCCATAGGGACCCCACAGGGACACCAGGATCCCATTGGGACCCCATAGGGACAGTGAGACCCCATAGGGACCCCATAGGGACCCCATAGGGACCCCATAGGGACAATGAGACTTCATAAGGACAAAAGAACCCCATAGTGACCCCATAGGGACCCCATAGGGACCCCATAGGGACACCAGGACCCCATAGGGACCCCAGGACCCCATTGGGAACCCAGAGGGGCAGCGAGACCCCATAGGGACAAAGGGACCCCATATGGGCCCCATAGGGACACCAGGACCCCATAGGGACCCCATAGAAACCCCATAAGGACAGTGAGATCCCATAAGGATAAAGGGACCCCATAGGGATCCCATAGGGACAATGAGACCCCATAGAGACACCAAGACCCCATAGCGACCCCATAGTGACCCCATAGGGACCCCAGGACTCCAATAGGGCCACCCCATAGAGATCCCTCCCATAGGGCCGCCCCCAAAAGGACCCACCCCCAAACAGGCCCACCCTATGGGGCCGCCCCATGGATGCAGGCTCACCCCTGGCCAGCAGGCAGCGCAGGTAAACCCAGGGGCTGTGATCCTGCGGGTCGGTGAAGACGGCGCTCTGCACCAAATCCAGCTCTGCTTTGGGGCCAAAAAGGGGCATCAGACCCC